CTTGCAACCGGGCCAATTATTTTCTGAGCTCATATATTTTTTAAAATAGTACCTTGTCAAATACTGCCAATAACAGTCAATTCATAATATATATTTACATTCTGTTTTCTCAGTTCTTTACCTCTAGCTGTAAGTTCATTTGATACATTATTTGCCTTTGCAAGTTATTACAAGCCAGGCTTTTTTATCAATTATTTCACCACTATTTTACATAAGACACCATTTTTTCAGTCTTCAATAATTGTTTTTCATTCGTCACTACCTGTCCCCAAAGCCAATGACAGATATACGTTTTAATATTGTTGTTTTGGCAGTCCCCTATTTTTAATATTCCAACTGTACTAATTAACTTAAGCTAAGCTGCATTATAGTAACAGATGACCCAGTGGCTCAGAGGCCAACACGGCAGACATTTATCTTTTATGTTATATGCCCATCCTGGATAGGCTTTGGCCCAACTTTATCTCTTCTTTGCTATCTATTGCTATTAAACCTTATAAATAACTTGATTGAGTATAATGTGTTTGAGCCATACTTTTTTGTGTTCCATATTTTGTACATATTGTTTCAATATTCCCCGACACTTTTGCTGACAACTTGCTGCTGCTTGCTCTCTCTCTCCTCATTTCTTTCTCTCTCACACTAATTTATGTTAACATGGATACTATACCTTTTTACTATACTTAAAAACCTTCCTTCTGTATGTAAGAGTAGCTTTGTCCAGACCTTCTATTTTTTCTGTCCCAACGTAAGTGGATGTTCCTAGTCTTCCTACTTCATCTGAGATCTGTTTGCCATCTCTAGTAAAGGAAAGTTTGGATATTATGTCTTTTATAACCTGTAGCCAGAGAATGGAAGTCATAGCTTGGACTTTGTTCAGCTTTAATAGGGAATCCCAGCTTACCTGTTTCTCCTGTAGTTTTATTAAGCATTCATTACCCAGCTAAATTCCATCTTATTGATAGTATATCTTAGTCTAGCTCGGCCTTTAACTGGTTATCTCAATTTAGAGTTTTCTAAAGAGCCAACTCAGATTATTCTCTTAACTTCAGTCCTCTTTCTATCTCTCAGAACTCTGCCTGCTCCTTCTGCTCCAAGCAGAAGGGAAAATATATATATATATATATAATATACACATATAAAATTTGAAATTTTAATTTCAAATCTTAGATTATAAATATATAATTTAAAATTATACATATATATATACACACACACACACACACACCCTTTGAATGACACACACTCACACTTTGAATATATATATATTCAAAAGGTATTTTGGGTTAGGTCCTTGTATTAGGAGTTCACATGGTAGGGGAAAGAACATCCAGTTTTCTTGTGTTGTTTGGTCTTCCCCTAAAATTTATTTTTTCTTTTGTCCTATTTGCATAAATTGTCGAATTTGGGGAATAGTTAGTTCTAGGGTGTTATAGGCTTTTATTGAGTCTTTTCTCTCCCTACCTCTCTCTCAGTCTTTCTGTCTCTCTCTCTCTCACATACACACACACAAGACAGAGGAAGCTGTTATTCTTGAGAAAGGCATTTAGTATAAGCTAAAAAATATGGTTCCTTTTAGACTGGAAACATAGTTATTCTTTGTATTTGTTAGGTGGATGGCAAAGATCTATAACAAATAGACCAAATGCAGTAGTTTAAATGAGAAAGAAGTTTATTTTTCTCGTGTAATTGCTTGTCTACAAACTCATTCGGGGACTTGTGTTTTTCCCTCTTGTTGTTCTAGTCTCTCTGAGTGTTGCTCTCGTTTATAAAGTCAAGGTTATATCACCAGTCACTATATTATCTGCATTCTAGGATACTGGGAAGCTGAATCCTAAAATTAGAAGTGATCTGATTTACATAACAGAGGCTCCCCTTTTTGCCAGTATACATACACACTCATATGTACACATATGCACAGATACTCCACAGGTTCAGGAAACGATAATATCAATGTTTCTAAAATGGAGGTGAAAGCAGAGTTAAAAATGCAAACATGACTGAATGTCCATTTAAGAACAGTTAAATCCCACTATCCCTTCCTCAACTCTGTGTAGCTAAGTGAATCTCTCTTCCACTGTAGCAGAAACACAAAAGTTTATTTTCTGGAGAAGAGAAAGCTGAAGGTCTCTAGCCTGGGGAGAAGAGGGAGAGTTATACTAAAATTAAAACAATGGGAGTAGGCTGAGCATGGTGGCTCACGCCTGTAATCCTAGCACTTCAGGAGGCTGAGGCAGGTAGATCACCTGAGGTCAGCAGTTTGAGACCAGACTTGCCAACATGGTGAAACCCTGTCTCTACTAGAAATACAAAAATTAGCCAGGCATTGTGGTGGGTACCTGTAATCCCAGCTACTCAGGAGGTTGAGGCGGGAGAATCACTTGAACCTGGTGGGCAGAGGTTGCAGTGAGCCAAGATCACGCCACTTCACTCCAGCCTGGGCAAAGGAGCAAAACTCCATCTCGAAAAACAATACATAACAAAACTAAAACAATGGGAGTTGGCGATAGTTACTCATGTGGCAACCTCCTTCTCCTCTTCCTCTATCTGGCCTCCGGAATGCTGTCAGCCAGTCCTATAAACTAGAGACATAGAAGATCCTTCTATGGGAAATCTCCTGACATCTAGAACAGCATCCAATGAAGTGGCACAACCAGGCCACATTATAGTGAAGTTCAGAGTAATTGAACTCTACCCACTGAGAGATTCTCCTATCAACTTCCATATGAGCTGACAATAAAGAATCACCAGATATCACAGGAACATTAAAGATCAACAAACAAAAAGTCTTGGAAGAAACTGATGCAAGACAGTGAGAGGAAGACTTGAAAAAACCCTGTCGCTGATGCTCTCAGGGAGGCAGAACCCCTGCTAGACCCTGCTTCAGCTGTGTTCCTCAGTGTTGAGTGAGGAGTTTTCAGAACCTGAAGAACACATTCCATCACACCATTGAACTTTAACCAAAAACAAACAAAAAACATATTCTGGATCTTAGATTCTGGCAGTCCCTGAACAATCTAGCCCAATGCAATTTCCAGGATTTGCTGTCCCCTTTCCTGCCTTTGTCTTCCTAAAGACCTTCCAGCACAATTGTATGTCTACCCCTATGCTTACAGGTGGCTGAGAGGAGCCTGTTTATGTGATGTATGGATGGGGATGGAGCTTGGAAGTGTAGTCCGGCATGTCCACGTGTATGGGCATTAGTTCTCTATAGATGAAAAGACCTATAGAGTGCCTAGCATAATGGATGGTTATAGACCACACCAGTGTATAATAGTATAATACTTCAAGACACTGGAAACAAGAGGAAGATCTGCAAGCTTCTTCAGGGAAAAAACTGCGCCAGTCCTACCACCCCTACCCTCCCACTCCTGGCCCCCAAAACCACACAAGAAACAAAAGGCTACATACAAATGATCAGGAATCAGAAAGGCTTCACACATCTCATTAGTGACATTGAACTCAAGAACTGAATGAAGCAGAGCCTTCAAAAGTCTGATTTAAAAATTTGAAATTATAATCAATTATATAAATGAATAGAATAAGGACATTTTCAGAGATTTAAAGTATCAGAAAGTAATCTCCCATGTATTCCTTCTCAGGAAGCCATTGGATAGTATATTCCCCTAAACGAGATAATGAACTCAGAGATAAAGAACATCAAATTCATACTGAAATGAGACAGGTCTAGGAGATATTTATTAAATAAAATGAAATTTTCAGTGCAGATGAATACAATCAGAAGTGATTGTTGGAAAGTTGGAAAGATTTTGGAGTTCAATATAACAATAAGTTTATAGGAAACTAAACGATTAAAATGGCAATATTTGACTCCAAGAAATAGAAACACTTGGGCAAGAAAAGGCAAAGAATGAGAATATATTTATAGCTTATCTGCAAATCTTAACAAAATAAACCCTGACTACTGATTTAACCAAAGCTGTAATTGAGGGTTAAGGGGATTCGTGTCTGCTAGAAGTGGAGATAGGGAGGAGGTGTTGGATGCTATGAGAGATTAATCCTCTGCGTTTATGGTGGGAAGTCAGTAGATAATGCAGAAAACGGAAAATGTAGCTATAACCATATGGTTTGGTGATTTGAACTCAAAGAGATGAGGAACTTTGGAATAAAAAATGTTGCCTTTGGAGGGTTCTATAAGCCTTGAATAAATATATCACTCTTTAAATCATGTGAATGAATAACTTTTATAAAAATTACATCAGTCACAGATGATAAAATCTTTAATATGTCTGCCAGACAAGCTAGGAGTATAATTAATTGCTTGTGTGTAATATCTTAATTTGTCTAGATAAAAGTGAATCTGACCCAAATTTTGCCATGAAAGTCATTGGTTCTTTATTTACTGTGTCTTCACAATAAAGATTTTGAAACTAAAGCAATACCATCCAACATATCCCGCTGAACTACATACTAAACCTATATCTACTAAATATCAAGTTGTTATGACTTTTCTTCATCTTTTCTCTTTTGGAGAAAACTTAGGGCCTTCATGTTTATAGACACATATGAACAGATACCTTCTGTGAGTAATTAGTAAGATAAGCAATTTTAAAAATTCCACAGAGTCCTAGTCTGTGTTGAGACTTTATGTTTAGGGTCTTTCATTACTGAGCTGAATAGGACCTTAGAGGTTAACTGTTTCCTGAGTGTGTTGGGTCTAGATCATTTCAATTAATTCATGTGTCTTTCCCCTGTAAAAGCCTAAGACTTTTTTAGAATAGATGGTTGCTAACTAAGGGTGGAGTCAGGATTGCTAGTGAGATTTTCTTAACTCCAAAATACTTTTCTTCTCTGATTATAAATGAAACCCTGAAAAGTGAGGATAATTTTTCATAGAGAGAGGATTTAATGCTGATATGAATTTAACTGTTTGCAGATATATTTGAAGTGGATTTTGACAAGGGTGAGGTTGAAGAATATATGATGATATTGTTTAGGCTGGAATGTTTTTCTTTAATTAATTTCAGTTTTATTTTCAGGGTGATCGTGGACTTCCTGGTTTTCCTGGGCTTCATGGCATGCCAGGATCAAAGGTTGAAGAAATGTTTCTTTTGAATATAGCAATGCCATTTTAAAAATTCAAATGTAAAGTACCTTTATATTACAAATGTGTTATAAATAAATGCTCATGTATAATTAAAGATAAAGTAAACAATGGGCTAAGATTTATATTAGTTTATACGAAACTTTACAAAATTCCCTTTAAAGTCTCGTTATAAATGTATGATTTTATAGTATTTAAAAATTGATCTTATACTGTATGCACGTTTTCTTAAATATAAGCCTTAAACTATAAGCCCTGTTATAACACTAAGTGTTATTTTTTAAAAGTTTCTTTATAAAGCCTAGAAATGAGGGCTTTTTAAAGCAAACTTTAAATTATTTTTTTTTCTATTTTGTTTTGCTTTTGGCATATTAAACTCTGTTGCTTATAATCTGTATTTTTTCTTTATGAGAACAATATTGATATTTCTTTAATATTTGCTATTTATATTTTGTCTTTTAGGGTGAAATGGGTGCCAAAGGAGACAAAGGATCACCTGGATTTTATGGCAAAAAGGGAAGTGTAGATCATACAACAAAGTATTCATATTGAACTTTTAATGTAATGGAAACAGAAAACTTGAATTGCAGTTCTAGCCCAATGTTAGAGCAGTTAGCTTTGTTCACCCTTCTTAGGGGATTAATTCAGAACAATGGGGAGAAAAAAAAAAGAACTGGTGACTGCAGACTGCTACGTATGGTATCCTATAAGACTATGTTGTATTGTTGACCATTCTGAGCTTTTAAAAGATTTACAGGCTGGGCGCGGTGGCTCACGCATGTAATCCCAGCACTTTGTGAGGCTGAGGTGGGTGGATCATGAAGTCAGCAGTTCGAGACCAGCCTGGCCAACATGGTGAAACCCCGTCTCTACTAAAAATACAAAAAGTAACTGGGCATAGTGGCGGGCGCCTGTAATCCCGGCTGCTCAGGAGGCTGAGGCGGGAGAATCACTTGAACCCGGGAGGCGGAGGTTGCAGTGAGCTGAGATCGCACGACTGCACTCCAGCCTGGGTGACAGAACAAGACTCTGTCTCATAAAAAAAAAAAAAAAAAAAAAAGATTTACAGTGAGACATTCCTTAGGGAGCAGTAGTAATTGCTTAAAAATGTGTCCACTGAAGGCTGGGCACGGTGGCTCACGCCTGTAATCCCAGCACTTTGGGAGGCCAAGACGGGCAGATCATGAGGTTGGGAGATCGAGACCATCATGACTAACACGGTGAAACCCCGTCTCTACTAAAAATACAAAAAAATTAGCCAGGCATGGTGGCGGGTGCCTGCAGTCCCAGCTACTTGGGAGGCTGAGGCAGGAGAATGGCATGGACCCAGGAGGTGGAGGTTGCAGTGAGCCGAGATTGCACCACTGCACTCCAACCTGGGTGACAGAACGCGACCCCGTCTCAAAAAAAACAAAAACAAACAAAAAAAACATGTCCACTGAAATTTGATGTTATGGGCCTTTCTAGTTCCTCACACTGAGGGAAGAATATTTAAAATACCCATTGCTTTTTAATTTTGCCAAGATGTTATTTCTATGTTTAGATGCTTGTAATGATAATTGTGCATCTATCAACATTTTTAATGTCTTGATATTGTATCCACTGGTTTGGTAAAATAGTACTTTGCAGAGTCAACATGAGTTGTAGTCCCATGAATTTTTACTACATAATGTTGTTAACTTAGTAGCTTTTCTGTTTAAGTTTTGGTTAGAACTTGAAAACATTATTGTAAAGATTGTGTTTTAAGTGTTTGTTTTCGATACAGGGTGCAAAAGGTGAAAAGGGGAATGCTGGCTTCCCTGGCCTCCCTGGACCTGCTGTGAGTTTGATAGAAAAAAGCTCTTAGTATTTTGCTTTAAATAAAAACTATCTTATAGTATCTGTCTTTAAAGAGAAAAATTAGTGCAAAAGTACATTAAAGCACATGTATTTATTTTTTAGGGAGAACCAGGAAGACATGGAAAGGATGGATTAATGGGTAGTCCCGGTTTCAAGGTATTTACAAAAAACAAAGGACGAAACAAAAAGATTTTTGTATCTTGTGAGGAAACATAAGAAAAAATGTACCAATATTAAAATTTTTTAATATGTGGCATTGGGATAAAATTCATGAGCTAAAAGGGTTTTTACATGTAATTTAAAAATGATACTGAATTTCTTTTGACTTTATTGTGGACTCTTAGGTGTCAGAAGTGAAATCATAGGATATTACAAGGTTGAGCTTCTTCGATAAGCCCTTCAGATTGGTTCATTTGGCAGATTAGAAGCAGAGGTTCTTGGCTCTGTCTCCCAAAGATTAAGGTTTCAGTGGGCTGGGAAACTGTCTTCTTAACTCTGGCTTCTTTATCAGTTGTGTGGTATGGGCATGAAAGCATTAGAGTAAGTGGAGAACTGCAAAGTGTCAATAATTCACTATCTAGGAAAAAACTCAAAGGGACATGCTCTTGGGGTGGTCTGTTAGCACCATCATATTCTTACAGTTAGGATTTAGCTGATTAGGATACCTAAGGAGAAGATTTGTATAAGCCATCAGAGCTGAAGAGGCCATTTGGTCAAGCATTGGACATAGGGATGTTATCTTGTTTTCTAATGGTCAGTTCTTTGAATCCCAGAGTTGCTCAGAAATTCAGTCCAAATTTTCTTGGTCTGTGGGTGTTTTCCAAAGGAAAAATTATTCATTTATTTGCTTCAAGTTCTATGAAGGGTTTTCAAATATCCATGATTCTTCAGAGTATACTTTGAAACAACACTTCCTAGGACAGTAGTAACCTGACTGTAAAATATGGGAACCCATTTTAAAGTCCTTGGTCCCTTCTTGTTAATTATGCTTCAGTGGTTTTGTATTTTCTCACTTATTTAATTGAACAGATTTTATTGATATTTATTAGAAGCTAGACATATAGAGGAGAATAAAGCCATCATGGCATCTCCTCTTACAGGGTTTATAATCTAGACTATGTGAGAGAATACGGATTTTTTTTCTTTGCCTACAACCTAAGCATTCATTTTAATTAATTTTTGTCCTCTGCTAGCATAAATTCATATGCCTCAAGAAATGGGACTGTTCTTTTTGGGAGACAGGAGAGCTTAGAGAATAGAATGGAGTTGGATTTCCAGCTTGCAGTGACTTTCTCTAACTAGTTGTATGTTCTCTGGCAAATATTTTGACAGTTTCTATTTCAAAAATAGAGTAAATGTTACCTATCTAGAATGGTATGAAAGGGACTTGAGTAAGACAAAGCACCCAGCACAGTTCCTGGCAAAGAATAAGTGTCGAATAAGGAATTAGTTCTTTTATTCATTTCCTGATTTGAACACAGCTTTAAGATTCCTTTTTAGTCTTAATCTGAGTAGTATGTGCATTCATGTACCTGCAAATGTAAACATCAGGTCACTGTTTTCTAGCATCTATATTGATATATAATTGAATACCATAAAATTCACCCATTTAATGTGTAAAATTCAACAGTTTTTGTGTATTTACAGAGTTATGAAACCTCATTAGAGTCCACTTTTAGAACATTTTCATTATCCTAAAAAGAAACACCATGCCCATGTAGTATAGTGGTCACTCCCCATTTCTCACCAAGCTACTATTCCATACATTAAACCCTTGACAACCATTACTCTGTTTTCGGTCTCTGCAGATTTGTGTATTCTGGACATTTCATATAAATGGAAACATGTAATATATGATCTTTTGTTCTTTCAATTACCATGACATTTTTGTGGGTCATCTATGCTTTGGCTTGTATTGGTAGTACTTCATTCCTTTTTAATGCTAATAGTATTTTACTGTAGGGATATATCACTATGTTCAACATTTTGAGTTCAGTTCACTCTTGATATTTGCCTTCCTTATAGGTTCATACCACCCTTCATATTTGAGCTTGGTTATGTCTCCTGTTTTGATAGTGTGGGTCTCCTAAAAACAATGAAGTTTTTCTGTCTTGTCTGTTTGTAATTTTTTTATAGAAATCATTCACGAATTGAAAAAAAAAAAGCTATTTACTTTTTTTGTTTAAATTACTTTATTTATAAAAACAGTTTTAGGTTTATAGCAAAATTGAATGGAAAGTGCAGTGTATTCCCACACACCCCCTGCCACTTCCCAACCCTGTGCAGGCTCTCCCATGTTCAACATCTCCACCAGAGTAGTACGTTTGTTACAATTGACACATCACTATTACCCAAGGTTCATAGTTTATGTTAGAGTTAACTCTTGGTATTGTACACTTGACAAATACATATATTTGACAAAAATAACATTGTAGTATCATAGAGAATAGTTTCGCTCCTCTAAAAATCCTGTGAGCTCCACCTTTTGATCCTTTCTTCTCTTTAACCACTCACAACCATTGATCTTTTTACTCTCTCCAGAGTTTTTCCTTTTTCAGGATATCATATAGTTGGAATCATACATTATGTGACCTTTTCAGATTGGTTTCTTGCTCTTAATAATATGCATTTAAAGTTCCCCCATGTCTTTTCATTGTTTGATGGCTACCCTTCCCAGCATCTGGTAACCATCCTTCTACCCTCTATGCCATGAGTTCAATTGTTTTGATTATTAGTTCCCACAAATACATGAGAATATGTGATGTTTGTCTTTCTGTTTCTGGCTTATTTCACTTAACATAATGATCTCCAGTTTGATCCATGTTGTTGCAAATGACTGGATCTAATTGATTTTTATGGCTGAATGGTACTCCATTGTGTATATGTGCCACATTTTCTTTATCCATTCATCTGTTGATGGTTACTTAGGTGACTTCCAAATCTTAGCCATTGTAAGTGCTGCAAGGAACATAGAAGTGCAGATATCCCTTTGATATGCTGATTTCCTTTCTTCTTTTGGGTACACACCCAGCAGTGGGATTGCTGGATCATGTGGTAGCTCCATTTTTAGGTTTTTTTTTTTTTTTTTAATTGACATAGAGTTTCGCTCTTGTTGCCCAGGCTGCAGTGCAATGGCATGATCTCGGCTCACTGCAACCTCTGCCTACTGGGTTCAAGCAATTCTCCTGCCTCAGCCTCCCAAGTAGCTGGGATTACAGGCACCCGCCACCATGCCTGACTAATTTTTGTATTTTTAGTCGAGACAGGCTCTCGTCATGTTGGCAAGGCTGGTCTTGAACTCCTGACCTCAGGAGATCCACCCTCCTTGGCCTCCCGAAGTGCTGGGATTACAGGCGTGAGCCACTGCGCCCAACCCATTTTCAGGTTTTTTGAGGAATCTTCAAACTGTCCTTCATAGTAGTTGTACTAATTTATATTCCCACCAACAGTGTACAAGGGTTCCCTTTTCTTCACATCCTCCCCACCAGCATTTGTTATTGTTTGCCTTTTGGATAAAAGCCATTTTAACTGGAGTAAGATGATATTTTATTTTAGTTTTGATTTGCACATATCTGATTATCAATGACGAACATCTTTTCATATGCCTATTTGCCATTTGTATTTCTTCTTTTGAGTAATGTGTATTCAAATATTTTGCCCATCTTTTGATAAGATTATTGGATTTTTTTTTCTACTTTTTATATTTTCTGGTTCCTAATCTCTTATCAGATGGGTAGTTTGCAAATATTTTCTCCCATTTCGTGGATTATCTCTTAACTTGGTTGATTGTATACTTTGCTGTGCAGAAGCTTTTCAGCATGATTTGTCCATGTTTACTTGGGTTACCTGTGTTTGTAAGGTATTGCTCAAGAAATCTTTTCCAAGGTCAATGTCCTGGAGATTTTCCCCAATGTTTTTCTGTAGTAGTTTCATAGTTTGAGGTCCTAGATTTAAGTCTTTAGTCAATTTTGATTTGATTTTTGTGTATGCCAAGAGATAGGGGCCTAGTTTCATTATTCTACATAGGAACATCCAATGTTCCTAGCACTATTTCTTGAAGAAACTGTCTTTTCCCTAGTGTATGTTCTTAGAAGTTTTGTCAAAAATGAGTTCACTGTAGGTGTGTACATTCGTTTCTGGGTTCTCTGTTTTGTTCCATTAGTCTATGTATCTGTTTGTATGCCAGTACCATGTTGTTTTGGTTAATATAGCTCTGCACTATAATTTGATGTCAGGTAATGTAATTCCTCTACTTTTATTCGTTATGCTTAGGATAGCTTTGGCTATTCTGGGTCTTTTGTGATTCCATATAAATTATAGGATTGGTTTTTGTATGTTTCTGAAGAATGTCATTGGTATTTTGATAGGAAATGCATTGAATCTGTAAATTGCTTTGGTAGTATGGACATTTAAAGAATATTGATTCTTCAAACCCATGAACATGAATTTTTTTATTTTTTGGTGTCCTCTTCAATTTCTTTCATTAGTGTTTTATAATTTTCATTGTAGAGATCTTTCAATTCTTTGGTTAATTCTTAGATATTTAATTTTATTTGTGACTGTTGTAAATGGGATTACTTTTTAAATTTCTTTTCCAGATTGTTCACCATTGGCGTATAGAAATGCTACTGATTTTTGTATGTTGACTTTTATCCTGCAACTTTACCAAATTTATCAGTTTAATAGTTTGTTGGTGGAGTCTAGGTTTTTCTAAATATAAGATTATATCATCAGCAAACAAGGATAATTTTACTTCTCCCTTTCCAATTTGGATGCCCTTTATAACTTTCTCTTGTCTGAATGCTCTAGCTAGGACTTCCAGTACTATGTTGAATAACAGTGGTGACAGGGGACGTAGTATCATGTTTCAGATCTTACAGGAAAGGCTTTTATTTTTTTTTCCCTATTCACTATTATATTAGCTGTGGGTTTGTCATAGATGGCCTTTATTATGTTGAGGTATGTTCCTTCTATATCTACATGTTTGAGAGTTTTTATCATGAACAGATATTTAATTTTATCAAATGCTTTGTCAAGATCAATTGAAATGATCATATGGTTAGCTTTCATTCTGTTGATATGATGTATCATATTGATTGATTTGCATACATTTAGCCATTCTTTCATCCCAGCGATGAATCCCACTTGGTTGTGAT